TCAGTTCACAGTTCCAAAGTTAAAGTATACCATATGTGCCATATTTTGCTTTACTTTTCCGAGTTTGAAGAGTATCTATCAAAATTAAGACATATATTCCATCAAGCAATTTAAAACACAATAAATAAATAAAAAATAATCAACATAGAAATTTCTTTTAAATAAACGAAATCAAAATGTCATGCGAACTTTTTTCACCCAAGCTCATTCATTTATAGATAATCCTGCGTTTCCGACGAGATAACAAAATAATAATGAAAGAATAACTAAAACAAGCATACATTAAAAAAAAAATCTTCGTCTGTGTCTTTTTAAATGCTTTCACTGTTTATTTTCTCTGACAGTGACTACCTTTCGTGTCATGATTGATGAATAAAAGCTACTTATTTACGTAACATCGCTAATGCGAGAAGAAAATTCTAGGATCAAATGTCTGTTTTTCTCTTTCGAGCTGATAGCTGAAAGTAATTAAACCCTAAGGCTAAACTTTCCCTCTTGTTAATGGAAAACAGAATCAGTTTACTAGATGACACTTGATTGAATTTAAATATTCCGTGTTTTGATTCGTTAGTTAAGGAAAAGTAACAGAAACGTTTCTTCTACAGTGTTGGAAAGGGGATGCTTATTTGGTAAATATTTCATTTAAAAAGATTTTACTTAAAAGATTTTCGTATTTTAAATATTTGTTTGCGGCCAGCTGTGTGATAAAACTATATACTGTGTTCGAAGTTCTTTACCAGGCCTCTGTTTTCGAAAACCTTGGTCGTAGACACACACTTACAGTTACAAAAATGTTTCAAATGAATCAAATATTCATGTTCTGGTATTTTAAATTTAAAAAAGTTTACAAAAATTACTAAGCCTTACTTTTAATGCGCAGCCTGTATAGTGGATAAAGAAATCTTCTGCGGTATCGAAGAGCCCGGGCTCGAATCCCGGAGAAGGCATGGCTGTAATTCTCCATCCCTTCACAGGAGGTAACGGGGGCCCACCTTTTAGGTGCTTCCATAATAAAGTGGCCACCAGTTCCGGCTTTAGTAGAAACAAAGACTAAGTTTGCTAAATGTCCGCGAATGGGGAAGCAACACTTTTTATGCGCTTTTAATTTTACATTTAGAAAAATTTGATGGTCATTATAAAATAAAACACAAATGTTTGGTTCCCCTATGACCAAAAATGACCGAAACATTTAATTACAAAATTTGGGATATTTGACTCCATTTCCAACTTATCTCGAGAACTCGTTAAAAAATAAATTAGGATTGATTTTTTTTCTCCTTCAGTCATGCCATTCAATCATGTTCTTTTGCGGTTTATTAATGCGTAAGATTCTTTAATTAATAATTCTGTTATATATAGTATGCGAAAGAGTTTTCATCCAAGTGATTTGCAAGCCCTAAACGTACGTTATTAATATTCTCATGAAGTTTTATTATTTTGAATGAATATATAATAATCATGCAAAAAATTTATCATTTAAAATATATTTTAAATTTTAAATTCCTGCAAATAATATAACGAGTTAGCTATGTGCCAATACTGAAGCTTGCGAGAGTTTTCTAGAACACGAATTGTGTAAGCCTATATGAATAAGATGGTTTTTTTGAAACTTTTACACTGATCAATACTTTTTATGATTATTTGCATAGAAATGCTCATCATTTAATCTATTAAAATCACAAACCCTTTTCTAAATTGACATTTTATTGTTAGTGAGTATAAATAAAAACCTTTTGCTGGTTAATTTAGGTATGGCCCCTGAACATGCTCTTCAACATTAAAATGAAATATCTTAGTCAATTTTCTTCATGCGTTCTGTATTTTATTTTTTTAATGAACACAAATTTTTTAAAGCATATAAATATATTTTAAAATGTAAACAGGGGGAAGGTGTAGAAGTTAAATAATGCAAATGCTTAAAAACTCCTAAACATGAATATTTGAGTCATTTGAAATACTTTTGTAAGTGGAACTATTATGTACGAGCAACAGTTGCGAAATTAAAGGGCTGGTTACGGACTTTTGTGAATAGGGTGTACAATTTAGCATTCAAGTTTCTAAAATGTTTCGTTTATTCAGTTCACTACAAAGTGTAGTTTGCATAGAATATGTGCCTAAAAATATTAATATTCGAAATCAGAAATTTTAGTTTCTTGTTTAGTGTGTTTCAAGAGAGGTTCAGCTGGCTTCACGATTATTATTATCTCACCTTTTTCTTCCGTAGAGCTATCTCAAATGCAGAACAAGAGCGGTATACATCCTAGAATCTAAGATATTTTTGTTTCATAATCATATTTAGTTTTCAGCCACTGGTTAGTTTACTTACGCCTTGGTCGCCTTACTTAAGTTGTGGCATTATCACACAGAGAGAAGTGTATAAGTTTTATATGTGCACTTAAAGGTGAAATTGTGTATTATTTTGTTCATTTTTATTTTTTTAACAATTTTTGAGGAAGAAGAAGTATAATTTTATTTTTTTTTTAAATAAAAAACTGTATCTTTAGAGTTTAATTCTACTGAGAAAGTTTATACATTCTAAATTGCCCTCGAAAGCAGCCTTGAAAAATTTTGGCATTTGAACGGCTCTTTTATTTATTCATAAGATTATCTCTTGTATGTTGCTTTATGAAAACTGAATGTTCTCAACGCAGCTGATAAAAATGTGCTTATTTGTAAAAATAACACTGATAAAAAGTGCTTATTTGGCTCACGCCTATTTCTAGTTAGAATTTAAATAGTTATGTAATTATGCAGTTCCTTTAATGGAATTGCTAGTATGTAGTTTTAGTCTTGGAATTAAAGCTATTTTTAAACCCTATAATAAAATGAAAATGTGTCATAAGCTGTGAGTGTGACAGCAAACTAAGAAATTCCGCAAAATACATTTTTGATTAGTTTTACCTGTGATCTATCATTAAAAGATCATGTGGCAGACAATTAGATTATTTTAATTTCTCGTTTGCTGCAGTAGTATTCAATAAATTTGTTTGGAATTAAAACATTTAATAACACTTTCTCTTATACTCTTACTTCAATAAAGATGAAAAACTGCCAAGACACTAAAAAATTTCGTTATATTAATTTTTTCGACCATTCATATGTGAAATCGGGGGGGGGTTAGACTGAAATCGGGGGGGATAATATGTTTGAAGATCTTACCTGCCCTTTCTGCCCTTTAATGATTTTATAATTAGAAAGACGATCACTTTTAAACGAACTCTTATAATTCTCTCTTAATCAGAGTTTTAGCTTAAATGCATTGACAGTTTTATTATAGAAGTTAGTCTCGTTTGGGGATGAAACTTCGGAAGTTGTTTAGATGACTATTTTATTGTTATATATATATATATATATATACGTTATTCTTTATTATGTATCTGAAGAGTCCATTTCATTTCTTGCTATTGTCAACGTCCTTTTATGATTATTTTATATGATTTACTACTCATTTCCGTCTGGTCAGAAAATATCCGTACTTAATGAACTTTACTATTAAGCGAATACAGTAAGACCCCGCTTAACGCGGGGGATCCGTTCCATCAAAGTAGAGCGTAATGCGAAACAGCGCTAAACGAGGCTATCTTAACATGTAAATAATGGAGTTAGGGGAAGATGGATAGAAAATTGGTTAGGTATTAAATTTAATAATGTTTTTTTAATAAAAATAAAACCAAACATTTATTTCCTACAAAAATAAAAACAATATAAATGAATATATTTATAAAAACAAATAAAATTCTAAGCCAGTCAGATCATTCAGTCTATTCTGTGTTTCCAATTTTCTGCCTTTTTGTCAAGAAGGCATTATGATAGATTGGCTTAATGGCATATTGCGTTCAATTTCGTCGTCAATCCATATAGACAGTCGTTTTTCCACTTCCTCTATAATGTTTTTTCTAGAACGGGTAATTCTAGTTGCAGAACTTGACGTAGTTGCAGTTGCCGATGACAGTATTTTTTCTTTATTCTTAAGAATTGTCTTATTGTTGAAGTTGCCAAATTCAATGCAGCAGTAATTTGAGATTGACTCTCACCAGAATCTAATCTTTAATCACTTGCTTTTTAGTTTCCAGTGAAATGCTTTTTCTGGTTGCTTTCTTTTCTTGTTTTTTATTATCACCATGATAAAAACTAAAGATCATAATATTTGTCACTGTATTAATCGTTATAGTATTATGTAAATTTATACTTACAATAATGTCAACAAATGTTTCAAATGATAAAAATGCTTCCGTACAGCACCGCACCAAACAAGAAACATAACTACAAAGTTTCGGATATGTTATTTGGAACCTACCGCTGCGCACAATTTCGAGGAATCCCCGTAGTTCATGCTGCGAGCAATTTCGGGGAATCCCGAGGTTGAAATAAAAGAGCGCTAAACCGAAACAGCGCTAAACGAAACAGCGTTAAGCGGGGTCTTACTGTACTTGTTTATTGCAATTATTTTATTACGCATATGCGCATTTGCAGTCAACATTAATACTAATAAGAAAAAATTTCAGAAGGAGCCAAATTTTATCAAGAAGCGGGAAAACTGAGTAATATTTGATATTATTTTCCAATATATTTCGAAACAAAGACGAATTCTTTCCAGTTCTTAATAGAATAATCATATATATTTATATGTTTCTTATCAGAACTTATTCTTACGTAATTCTTATTAGAAGTCGCTAACAGAAACCTCTTAATTACCGAACGTTAAATTAGTTGTAATTTACATGTTAACGTGTACAAAATTTATACATATATAATCCGTTTTTAAAGTATTTAAAACTATTTCTTAATTTAGTACTGTTCGTACATTGTGGTTACAATTAAAATGACCCTACTCAGATCTATATAGAGCCCGTTTTGGTTGACACATTTAATTGGAACATGGTGCATGTGTTATACGGATTACGAGGAAAAGAAAACTGCAATAAAATAAAAATCAAATTTCTACCGGGAGATGAAAAGATTGCAAAAAATAAAACAAACACGAATTGGAAGTATGAAACTTTATTTAATCAATGAAATTGTTCAATGTGCATTCCATTTGCGTCAATCACGTGTTCAAAGCACTTTATAACATACTTAATAATAGCGCGAAGGGTTTCTTGAGGAATTGTAGCAACTTGGTAGTCTGTATGCTATAGATACCATCTTTTGGAGATTTTTCAGAAACAACCAGTAGTTACGGAGGGGAAGTCCGATGAAGGAGGACAAGAAACTTCTCTAAACTACCCGATCATCTCGAAATTGAGCCCAAAGCAGTTCCTTCACTTTATCTGCCAATGTCATCTTTCAGGAAGATAACAGTCTCTAAATATTCTCATTTTTCAGGCACGAATGGCTTACTGCAGTAGAAGTTCGGGCATCTGGGACATTTTATTGCCTTGAGAAGTACTTTCCTCAAAGAAAAAAAGGCCAAGAATGAAATCAGCAGTAACACCACATAATACAGTCATGAAATTAATGTATTGTTTAAAAATAAATAAATAAATAAAAATTTTAAAAAATTGAAATTTTCTGGCAAAAAATCAATATTTCACTTTAACAAATATTATTACAAAATATTTACATTGCATAAAATTTATCCAAAAATTTCATTTTGTTCTATACAGATGTAAACCGAGCAGTAAAGCTTTAAAAAGCTTCTGCAAATTTTCCGTGATACTTAATAAGAACATTATTTTTAAATGTTTAATAAATGAAAAGTCTTTTATCCAAGCAGAAAATTTTGATAGCAAATAAATTATCCACAGAAATTTTTTATTCTGTTTTCGGCAACAAATCGTCAAGCAGAAGGAATTGAATCATTGTATTTGCAATTGGCAGGGGAATGGAATAATTAAATTTTAAGGAATTATTATATATTGTGCCATTATTTCAATTTTTCGTATTTTTTAAAATTTTTTCACTGTTTTCTCATGAATTAACGGTAATTGAATTATTATTATTGTTTAATTTTTACATCATTAATAAAGCCTGCCTTTCTTAATTTAGTAGGCATAATAAACAAAAATATAACATAAGATCAAGGCACTCAATAAATAATAGTAAATTTATGCAAAATTTTAATTATATTTTTTCCCTTAAAATTTATGATCCTTCTGCATTCATTATGTATTCATTGAACACAGCGACAACGGATTCCGTTAAATTTCAAAGTTATAACTTTGGGACAAGTTGTTAAAGGCATACATGTGTTAAATGTTCTAATATTTTTTTTTAAATCATGGCAGAGTTAGAGACGGCTATCTGTCTAAGACTTTGCTGAGAATTTTGTGGAGAACCTGGCTTTTATTCATGTTACACATGGGGAAAATTTTTATGCCGGCAGCCCATTCTCTGCTATTTGAAAACAGGTCCAGATACTAGTGTTTGGATTTCCACTTGGTGGTTTGCAAGCAATTTCTTGAAAATTTTAATTTTTGAAATCATGTGAAACGATGCTGTCATTGTTATTTCAGTTAGCAAAAAAGACGAAGAAAACGTTTGCACAATAAAATTAAAATAAACTTTGATTTAACTGAATGATTCAATTAAGCATGAGATTAGCTAATTTTAGATCCCTTGTAGTAACTAACTCATTGTTGAGCTATGCTTGTAATTTTATTGCAATAACATTTTTAAAATTTAATGCTATTTATTTTGAATTGTTTATTGAAACACAATTTCATTAAAATATCTTTTATTGCAGTCAAATCTACGTGCACGCTCAATTTACTAAATTACACTATTGGGGAAGGAGGAAGAATTCTGCAGTATTCATTTATTGCCGTAAAAGCATTAAGTATGACATACAGATTTTTTTCAGATTTTCTATGACGCAAATGTAATTTCCAGATGACATGTATTTTAAAATTCAGTAAAGGAAAGTAATAATAAAATAAATAAACAGAAGCATATCAATTTGAGCTTGTTTTTAACCAAAGACTGGTAATAGTGTTTCGAAAATAAACACCGTATATATTTACTCACAATAACATTACAAGTAAAATGTAAAATGTCTGTAACCTTTATAAACGCATCCTTTGGGGATCTATATACGAAAAATGTATTCTGCTTACACAATTATTTCCTGTAACCTTACAGGTCGAGCATCCGCAACTTTATAGATATAATTCTTGTAAAGTTATTAACAGTGTCCCTGTTATAATCACTCAAATAGCTCATGACACCCCAGTTCTCTTAGCAAACTTGAAAATTTTTATAGTGTATGTAAATACTGTTCTTGCACAATATTGGACTTACAGTATCCGACATGTGAGTATTTGCCGTTCTTCTAGGGCAAAATGTGCCTCGTCTGACTACAAAATTTTCTAAGGCCTTGCATTTAATGGCTATTCTCGCCGAAAATCGAAAAAAAATCAGTGGGAAGCATGTCTTGAGGATGCAGTATTTTTACTCTACGGATCTTCTGTGGATACCACTTTAAAACGGATCACAGGAAACCTTCCGTACCGTAGATCGAGGAATAGACAAATCACGTGACACTGCTCCAGCACTTCTAAAATATTACCGGGAAATTGATGCTCTGTCAACCACAGCGACAGCTCTTACAGTTTCATTTAATCTTTCTGGCAACACACCCAGCTGCCCAGTTTCTTCAAATTTAGTAATCATCCTATCCAAAATACTCTTCAACATAAGCCCTTTTCTCAAACCTTAAACTCCGGCGGTCGATTTCATCGAGATTTTCTCAGTCGTGTTAAAACTATTACACCAGTTCTGATAAAACAACTTGACCACTTAAGCTCGATCCTTCTACCCTAAAGGCTCGGTAAAGAATGACTTTAAGCCATTGACTGCTGGCATTTTAAAGAATTCCTAAATTGCGTAAGATATTCTTTGTACACTGTAAGAAAAGGACCATCTAGATGTCAAAATTTGAAGTATTAATTTTACCGCAATATTATTTTTCCCATGATCTGTACAACGCACCAAGTTTCAACGAAATACATAAACCAGAACGTGAAATAATGAATTTTGATGAAGCAGAAATAGAAAAAGCTAATTCTGAAGTTTAGAAAATTAAAGTTGTGAAGAAAAATAGATACAGCTTTTTAGTTATTTCAAAGAAAAATTTCATTGCATAACCTTGTTTAAGTAATAGAACATTTTGAACTTGCTCGCACATCGGCACCAGTCGAAAGAGTATTATCAATAATGAATGTCATACCATCTGAAGAAAAGATACAAAGGCTGAATCAACCGTAAAAGCTTTACTAAGCTTCAAAGTCAAAAGTTTACTAAACTGCAGTGAATTTTTCATTGCCATTAAAAATAAAAAAAAAAAAATAAATAAATAAAATAAAAAAAAAAAACACCTTTTAAAGAAAGTTCTCATTAGTGAAAAATCAAATAACTTGCCCGGCCTTTTTTTCACAACCGTTGCTTGTAGTTAAAAAAAAAATTGTTTTTCGAAAGAAACAAAAATTCGTGGTTTGGCATTTTTAAATTTAAAAGAATTCAGTTCTACAAAAATCGTGAAATCAACATTTATATGTTATTTTGGTATCTGTACTTTTATTTAAAAAAAATTTGCATTCGTTATAAATAATAAAATCCAAAAAGTCTGACCTCCCATGGAAATAAATAAATAAATAAATAAATAAATAAAAATAAATAAATAAATAAATAAAAAATAAAAATAAAAAACGAGATATTTGATATTCAAATCGGAAGTCATATTCATTGGCCATACGCAAATTGAAAACCGAAATGCTTACTCTTGTGTATCATTAAAAATAGCATATCGGTTTAAAAAATCGGTTTATCGGTTATCAACTTTAATCTGGACACCGTATGACTTCCTTGTACAGTCTGTTAAATTAAACACATTTTTTGCTGCACTCCACATAAAATTATACCTTCGTATTATTCTAACTTAATTAAACGATCCCTCAAGTCCCGTTGAAAGTGATACCAAAAATGAAATTTTGAAATTAAATGTTTCAGTCACTTTTTGTTGACTGTTTGTTTGGATGTCAAACTTCTTAAATTTTTATACTGAATATAAAACTTTCACAAATATAAGTATAGGGACCGGGAGATTATATTAAAAATTCGATTTCGTTATTTGTCGAAAATTAATTAATTTTTAAATTTGGCATTGCCAAAACATGAATATTTTCGTCATTTAAAACACCTCTGTAATTAGAAGTATATGACTACAACTAACGATAGCGAAAATAAAGGCTGGATAAGGGAGTGGGTTTTACAATCTATTTTGGGAAAAAAAAGGCCTTCATTCTGTCCGCATGTATAGACGTCAAGCAAAAAAAAAAAAAAAAAAAAAAAAAAAAAAAAAACGTACAAATGGCTTTGGGAACAATCAAAATGGATATTTCCGTTGAAATATGATACATGAAATTTTTCGCGATTGCAAGTCTTCCTTTACTTCCTATAAAAAGTAAAAAAGCTTTTTGATATTAAGTGACGAGCATTTCTATGCAGATTATTGGGAAAATATTAATTAATATAATCTTTCTTCAAAATGGGGATCTTATTCACAGAATCTTATGGAATTTGTGTTCCTAAAAGGACTTAGCAGCCGAATCGTAATATTATTTACACTAATTAAAGTGAAAAATATATGTACTTTAATGAAATTTTTGTTGTATTATTATATTATGATTCTAAAGTTTAAAATAAAAAAAAAAAAAAAAAAAAAAAAAACATGAAATATTAATTACGTATTTTAAGACTTTAAAGCTTATATTTTACTTACTTCAAAATTATTTCCGCATACCAAATGTAACAAAATTATAAATTAAAGATGCTAATAATTCATAAACGAATCACACTGAATGGCGTTTAAAGGGTTAAACTCATTAAATTATTGGGAAATTTTTTGCAATAGTCGCTTTAGATTTTTAGCAGTTTTGCATTTTTCTTGCTCGAAATTTATTTAAATATTTATTTAGCGCTTTGCTTTTAATTTCCCCAATGGTTTTTCTGCCATCTTATTTCGAGAATTTTTTTGTATACTGTTATTTGTTTTGGGGTCACCTTGGGGCGGATTATACTTTGATGATTGATAAAAATTTGAAAAAAAAAATATTTAATAATTCTTTTAATGGAAATTATTCAATAATTTTAATTAAATAAACTTTTATTTGGCACTTTCTTTTAAGTTACTTCAAGAATTTATAATTACACAGATATACTTCAGAAACGTGACTCTGCTGAAATTCTTCGGCTGCTCCTTGAGATAGACCAAATAATGTTCAGCTATTTGTTATACTAGTTTTGTTCTGTTATTTTATTGGATTATTTTGTTTTTATTTCATTCTTGATGTATGCACTTCCTGTCAGACTGTTGGGCCGTCATTTTTGATTTAATTATTGTCTCTTGATTATATATAGAGAAAAGAGAAGAAGAAGAATTAACTTTTTTTACATG